AGAAAAGATAATTTTTGGTGACATACCAGGACATATTTTTTATATGAATGCAGATGTAACCTTGAAGGACGTTCATCACGGCCAAGTTGTGATAGCGATTTTATATAATTTTATTTGACTGATTCAAAGCCTCTCTACTTTTACAGAAGTGCAAGTTGGACTGTATGTATTTGTCACAAGGTAGAATTAATAATAGAAACTCCTGGCGTAGGTTCGTCAATTTAATATAATACGAAGATAAAGCCTAAAAACATAAATACATTATTATAATACAAGTTAATTAAAACATACATAAAATACAACAATACCACAATTGAACTATGCAAATAAGAATTATTTCAAGTAAATGAATAAAATGAAAATAATCTTACCACAGCGTCTCAATACAAAAAAAAGAAAATAACTTAATAATAAGTTATTTCCTATCAAAAACTCTATTAAATAAACTTATAGAGTTAATGTAAGTAGAATTGTATATCTTAACTCGTAAGAGAATAAAGACGAAGTGAAGTGGAGAAGGAAAGTTCGCGGGAAATTGGAAGAAAGAAAATGTTAAAACCAATCTAAAACTTTCTCTCAAATCTCTTTCATACAACGTACAAAACGATTGGACATACAAAAACAGTTCACAAAATTGCACGAGATACAGACATAGTTGAATTGTTTCGGCTGTTTCCGTGAATTTCCGCTAATAAGCGTACATTACGGACCCATCCGATACAATACAATAGCAGACGATAACAGACGCCACGGAGGCAAACGATAATCGACGCATGCGCGGACATTAAGATTACTTTTCCCGCGACTTAATGACGAACAGTGCACGGCAAAATGAACAATTAATACAATAAATAAAACGACCCGTGACATATTTGCTGCACAATCAACAATACCAGAAACTTTTAAAATGATCTCCAAAATGGAAATTTGGTTGGTCATTGGAGTTTGATTTGCAGGCTTCATAACCTCTGATCCCCTTTCAAAAATTCATTCATTGTTTTCTCGTTTAAGACACACGCATTATTTTCTTGGATGTTTCAAAATTCCAAATTTTACCAGTTCATATAAAATGTTGAATTCTGCTTAAACCGATGCTTAGGGGGCATGGATAGTAATTTTCACTTTCCATTATCGTCCACGACAGGCTAAATCAAACCGAGCCTGCAACATTTACAAATCTTTATTTCTCTCTATTTGAACAAATGTAAATTAAATCCTCAATAAGATGCAAATCTGGCAAAAAGTGTAGGACATGGAATTAAAATCCTCAAAATGCCAAGTCCTTCACACTAGGAAAGAAAAAGTCATCAACAAGAAATATGTGTATATTCTCCATGAACAAGCTTTAAATAACATCAGTTCAAAACTCAAAATACCATTCCTATATAATCACATTGACAGCCACGATATCATTGGCATATTAACTTCGTGAGGTTAGTCGGTTGGGTATCATCTTTTGTACCATGTTCATTATATTGCACAAAATAACTTTAAAGGTGATCCAAACAAAGGAACAGAATGGCGAGCAATAAAAATGTTACCATTAAAATTTTATAGGAATCTTGACAACCTATCAAATTGAATAATTCAATCGGAAATTGATACATCCAAAGGTCGACTTGTTTCAAATAAAAATATTTATCATTCACAAGAATAAATGGTTATAAGATAAATAGTTACCAATTTATTTCAACATATCATGGAGCTAAATATAAGATGTTTATATCTGTAAACATATAACCCAAAATATCTTTAACGGTCTCCGGCCTCTGTCAGTCCAAAATCGGAACTCCCAATTTAGTGGGGGTACGTTACGATACCGAAATCAACTTGATTTCGGTAAAGTTACCGAAATCAACTTTTCATTACCGAAATCAACTCGTAAAAACCAACCTAGTTAAAATATTGCTATTATTTCTTCATTATTTGATGAAAAATAGTGAAATAGACTTTCAGTTAAAAAATATATTGAAAATATTCTATTTAAAATGAATGTTATTAACAAAATGTAATTATTAAGTTACTTCCCTTTGTTATAAACAAACCGTTATGTGGTTTAGCATTACCGAAATCAGCTGTGAAGTTAAATTTTGTATATAAATTAGTACATAATAGATTTAGATAACTCTAGTAGAGCTCTATTTTATAGACATAATTTCTGTTTTTTAAGTTTTTCAACCATATCTAAATATTATCAGCGTTTGAACTGTTTTGTAAAGAATCTCACTAGGTTAAGAGTATCGTCTGCAATAGATTGCACATAGAATCAGGTAGAATGGACTAAATCAAAATAGTACACCTTTAAATTGATAGAAATTGCTTTTCATGTAATGTCTTAGAAGACGAATACCATTTCATATTAAGAATGCAATGTATATAGTGATTTAAGAAAAAGTCTGATAGCCAGCCACATTAGCATGTTATATATCTGCACGTGATTGTCCGTGCATAACAATTTTCTAATCAAATCGTATTTTCAAAAAGCTATGATCGGACTATGATGGAAAATAAAATTACTCTGTAATATGAGTTAAAGATAATTATAAAATTTTGTACATGTTTATGTTTTATGAAGAAAATATCCAACTTCAACCGGAACTTTATGATTTTCTATTATAAAGTTGAATACAGATTCGCCTGCACTAAAAATGTTCCAATAAAAATAGTATAATGTATCAGGCAGTAAAAATTGGAAATTGGAAAGTTTGTTGTCTTTCTTTTATTGAAACAGTTAAAAAACTATATATTAAACAAATCACTAACGCATGTTATGGGGACTCTTTACTATAATATTTTTATATTTTAGTCATTTATTTAAATGTTTATTACGAAATTAAAACAGATGGTTCATTTTAATCTTTTATTAAATTGTATGTCAACTGTACATCAAATCAAATCAAAATTTATTTATTGTCGGTATACATATATAATAATAATACCGACTTATTATCTTTATATACATCCTGTCTTAATTACTTCGCACCTTAACTTAATACAGTAATACAACAACATGTCATATCAAGCATATAGCACGTGTATGCTTGCTCCTTATTAGTAAAGGTGTTATAATGAATGGCCTAATTGGCTACCGCTACATCTTTTTTATTTTAATCAAAATCATAATCACTGGATTTTGTTTTTGTTGTTGTTTTTTTTTTTTTGGTTTTACGTCCACATCGACACAGTATAGGTCATATCGCGACGTTCCAGCTTTACTGGTGAGGAAATCCTCAGGTGCCCTTCCGTGCATTATTTCAGGCACGAATGGGTACCTGAGTAGAACCACACCGGACGTTCCGTAAGCTAGCTGGATAGCTTCCTCACATGAAAGAATCCAAGTCCCTGTAGGGCTTCGAACGGCCACAGCGGTGAGAGGCAAGTGATTTGAAAGTCAACGACCTTAACAACTCGGCCACAGATTTAAATTAAATACCTGTGATAATTTCCAATCAACTATTTTAATAGTGATCTAAAATTAGGCGGATAACTTCAAACACAGTTTTGTTTAATCTTGTATTTTGAAATCATTAGAGAAACATCAAAGAGATGATACGCTGCTAAGTTATCTGACTAAAAGGGAAAATCTAAAAATTAAAAATAAGCGATATGAATTCATAATTTAAACTCACTCAAATACCTTTTTTCATAGACTTCTGAAATTCATGCAAATAATTTTAGGGGTTGTTCCATCTTTGAAATGAAATCTGATTTGATTTCGGTAATGCAACACATTAATAACAGGGAAGTAATATGATATAATATATCATCCGTCTATAAAATCATCATTTTTATAATTTAAATATTAGTTTTTCCTTTGTTTATGGTTCAGCTTTGAAATGATTTTATATTAATTAATTAAACAAGATCTATCAAAATGTTTATTTTTAAACTTTTACAAGTCATTTTTGGTATTGTAACATATATTTCGGTTCGTGACAAATCAGGGCAAATAATCTTGATATTTAGTTTTTTGTTTTCTAATTTCATAATTATTATTATTTCGATCTGATTTTTTTGCATGAAGGTCAAACTAAACCTATTGTAATATATTATAATGAAAAAAATATAATAGAACGCTTAATTGTAATTTTACAAGTCGATTTCGGTAATTGTAACATATATTTCGGCTCGTGACAAAAATCAGGAATAATCTTGATATTTAGTTATTTGTTTTTCTAATTTCATTATTAATAATTATCTCGAACTGATATTTTGCATGAAAGTCAAACGTAACCTATTGTAATATATTATAATGAAAAAATATAATAAAACGCTTAATTGAGATTTTATAAGTTGATTTCGGTAATGAAAAGTTGATTTCGGTAACTTTACCGAAATCAAGTTGATTTCGGTATCGTAACGTACCGATTTAGTGGTGTTCAAATTCTAAAATTGATAATCTCGTTTTCAACGGTAACTGGCGTGATATCCGCCAATTTCAAAAACAAAATATACTTGCGAAAATGGCATGATGTTGTGTAAAATGTGAAACCTTTGCTCAGAAAATGTTTTAAAATGCCTCGTTTTACTTTTTATGATTACTTTTTAGCGTTCATTTCAACTTGTACTTACATTGCAGATGTTGCTACAGGTAATTGACGTGTTACAGTATGTTCATTGTTTGATAATTTGTTATTTGTGTATGGACAGGTCTAGTATCGTATAAGTACCTAATCTCACACCCAACCTATTCTCAAACCTTTCATTCATGTGCTGTTATTTTTTTACTAGAAGTGACTATGATGTCCTGAACTTTGTTGTGCATAAAAGCTTTTGTTTCTGACAGACATGTCTGCTGAGTGTGTCAAATGAAAACAGTGCATAGAAAACAAATATCAGAATATACCTAAAACCCGTGACGCCCGTGACGTCCGTGACGGCAATCATCACGGAAAAAATATAAAATTTACTGTCCGGGTTATGTCACGGGTTTTGTTATTTTTTGCTTGGTTAAGTTAGATTATTTATTTAAATATAAGTTACTAAAGATTTTATTTGATTTTATGAAAATGATTATTTTAGTTTTATCTTTTTAATTTACATTACTATACATTGCGATCAACAACTTTATATTACAATAACGTCACGTGATTTTGACTAGTAAAAAGCCGTCAGTTAAGATCGGGTAAGAAACATAGAATTAAATGTTCATTGAGTAACAGACCAAAATTCTACGTCTTATACGGCCCGATTCCGAACCGCCGATATCGGCGCTTCCTTTTAGACCAAGAGGTGGCGAAAACGTGGATTTTTAAAGGGGGACGGTCTAAAGCACAGGATTGGCGAGAAGCTGACGGACATCGTTGGATAAACCAAGGCACTGTGGGTCTTCCACGCAAAAAATCCGCGGTTTAAAAAAAAAAATTTTTTTTATATACATACCGAGAATGGGGCATCGAAAGAATTTGTTAAATTTTTTGTTTACCATGAACCTGAAAGCATTAACGGTCCTTTTGTTATTCAATACATCGGCAATGAAACAAATCTCACAGCCGATGTCCCATGGAAATTCAAAAAACCAGGAACGCCCTGTTTTTAAAGATCAAAGCCAAGCAGTCTAGAAAAATGGCTAATTTAAAACAAAAATCGGAGGATTCCGAATTTTTAGTTTTATAAGAAAGAAATTCATGACAACGACGAACAGCCAAGGGACTTAAAAAACAAATCCAAAAATCTGCGACATAAAAGGAAACACAGAACTTAGAATATCTCGTGATGCCTTATCTACAATCTGCATGCTTTAGCTAGAGACAACAAGCAATCAGTTCATTCAGGGTAATCAATACTTTTCCAAATTTAGTTTGTAATATGGCGGACATAAACTTATGTTTTCGAAGAACTGGAAAGAGTTCTTTACCTTGACAATGAAAGTCAGTGCCTCAGCTATGACACAACTTTTCAATTGGGGGATTTCTACGTATCTACGCTGGATATTTAGACATATTCTTTTAAGGAAATGCCATGCATGCCCAGCAATATTTTATGCTTGCATGAGCGCAAATTCCAAAACACCACGAATTATTATTGCAATTTTTTTAAAAGAAAATAAAGACTTCCAAAAACGCTTGTTTGCTATGTGTCACAGACGGTGAACAGGGGATCATGAATGCCATGTCTTGTTGTTCCAACACTTGTTGATGTGAGATGTTTGGAACCACATACTAAATGAATCATTGGAAGATGGCTGACTGAACATAGGATTTTCCAACTCAAGAAGTTCTAGCTTAATAAAGGATCTATTCGATTTATATTTGGAAGAATTCCAGAGATGAACGGTATGGATTTGAATTGCCGAATTAAATACAAGCCTGGGATGAAAACAATTTCGAAAAGTATTTTTGAAAAAAGAATATTACCTCAACTTGGGAAGGGTTTCAAAATGGGCAATAGAAAAAATTACAAAAGTACGACCCATACAGTGGGCATTTACTCCAAATTCAAGAGCGAAAGTATGAACAAAGTATTTAAACAACTCAATAAATGGAAAGAAAGCCCCAGCAGATGTGGTAGTATTGTCATTTCTACGTCTTCATCAATATTTAATCTTAAAGAAATTTACTCGTGGTCGCGCAGGCATTGGTACCTACACTTTAAAACCTAATACATTTCAGCTAAAATTGATCTCTGCAGAAATTATCAATTTTTACAGTTTCACAACAGAAGATATTGTAAATGGCATTCGTGAAAACCAATTTGTCTCTAATGCAGAAAATGACGCACATTCCAGAACCAAATATCCCAAAGATTGATATTAACTTCTCACGCGCCGATGAACTTACTAAAAAAATGATAGAATCGTTTCGCTCCAAGGCTAGGTACATTTACGATATTAGGACAGGATGGACAAGGCTCGGGTTGTAACACTATTCCCCGAGTTCATGTTCGTCGGTGGAAACACGCATTGCTATCATTTTAATAGCTGTTTTTAAGAAATCTATAGGTATGGAAGTGAACTTGAAAAACAAAACCCAACCCTAACAACACTTAGAGGTTTAGATGAAAAGAAAAAAGCAGGAAGAAAACGACCTAGACAAGATGATTTTGGGATTACATAATTTCCCCTGGACAAAAAATTCACGGGAGAATTGAAAAACCCGTGAAAATACAGCCATCTCGGAAATTACCCGTGACGGATGAAGTCGAAAAAACCCGTGACGATTCAGTCGTCACGTTGAAATTAGATTCACCCGTGACAGTACCAACTCGGGACCTAAGGAGGAAAAATCCGTGACGACTCAGCCGCCGGAAGAACCATCGTATACTATATATACTTTGAACAGAAATATTGAACCAGGAGAGCCAGTACAGTCCAACACATCGGTAAGTGACCAGAATGCTAGATATTGGGCAGATTAAACTTAAGGACGAAGAAAAAAGTATCCTGTATTTTCACCAACAGAGTGGTTAAATGATCGGGGTTGATTGATGCGAGCGATGTCTCTTCTAAAGACACAGTTCCACACATATGGGGGCTGGGACAGTTGCCTAAATGCAGCAACTCTAACGTTTACTCGTTGCTTTTGGAAAATTTCATTCAGATCGTCAACAGAACGGCCAAACAGGGTGGGTCAATTGGCTGACATTATCCACTATGAAACAAATAACAAGTCGGAAGTAAAATTTATGATTCAGGTTTCACATCACTAAGTTTTTCTACCCAGCAAGTTATTTGCAATTTACTTAGAAAAGATACCCCACAAAAAAGAATTGATAAAATATTGTTGAATTTTATGGACTGTGCATTCCAGGAAAACGGCAATGACTGTGGTCTCTATGCATATTGCAAACGCAACTGCGGAAGCCAACGGTATAGATCCCCTGTACCCAAAAGGTATGACGTAGAACTGCTTCGTGGTCACCTGATTCAAATGTTTTGGAAAAGGGTAAGCTTGTGCCATTTCCCCCGCTGGCACCCGGTCGCTCGAGCACCCGAAAGTGTTCAGATACACGGCAATTTCTTTAAGGTGTTTTGTTCTTTGCCGAATGCCCAGAAGATGGTTTGTATGTTGTTTGCAATAAATGCAAAAATATGGTACCATCCAGAATGTGAGGGTCTAAAAAAAGAGATGACATTTCCTGGTGATGACATTCCATATTTCTGTACAAAATGTACACACCCCCAAAAGAGAAACATACGACGAAAAAAAAACGAATGTAGTGTAACAATGTATAATATATACTTTTAAAACTTTAGTTTAAAATTTAAAATAAATTTAATACTGTACTTTATCGTCACTTGTTTTACTCATTTCCCTTAATTCGAGTCATCACATGTCATAATGTTATGTTTTCATTAAATGAAGAAAAAAAGAAAAAAAAAGAATCATTATCATTAGGATAAGTTGCATCGTCACGGGTTTTAGCTACACTTCATGACAGACGAATAACGGCGAATATAGTTCGTCACGGTATTTAGTGCCTTGCAATTATATATCACGGTAAATTAGTGTGTCACGGATTTTAATTCATTAATGTCATAATGTTATGTTTCATTAACTGAAGAAAAAAAAGAAAAAAAGAATCATTATCATTAGGATAAGTTGCATCGTCACGGGTTTTTAGCTACCCTTCATGACAGACGAATAACGGCGAATATAGTTCGTCACGGTAATTTAGTGCCTTGCATTATATATCACGGTAAATTCAGTGTGTCACGGATTTTAGGTACATGTCAACGGATTTAATGTCGTCACGGTCGTACGGAATTAAGATATTGTCACGGGTTTTAGGTGATCCCACTAAAAGCTAAACAACTAGAATTCACTACCTTGTCAAAACATCCGAACAATTGTCAGTATCCGAAAATAAACTAGTTTTATTAAACTTTATAAATCCCTCGGTTTTCCATCAGATAATTGACCTACCTGCATTTTTCGGCCCGTGCTTTCTATTCCTTCAAATCTGAGGAGGACCGAAACAAATTTAACTTCTATATCTCTCGAGTTCTTCGGGTTACCTATATGCGTAACGTTAAATAAGTCTGCCGATGTACCCGGAAGATTTAAATGGAATTTTGTGAGCTTCGAGAAGAAAGAGATAAAATCAAGTCGGGCCAGAAACAATAATATCTATTGTCTAGGATTATTTTTGTGCGTACACTTGGACGCAAGTGGATAACTTATATGCGTACATGTCAAAATTTATGCGTATATGGACGCATAAATTCTGCGTCCCGTAAAACCCTGGTGATGTAAAACCCAATTAAACAAATCAAAGGCAAAAACATATATATTTATCATTGTATGGTGTGTTTTACACAAATGGTAAAAAAACTATATCTGAATATGCTCATTTATGCATTGAATGGTTCTGTTGAAAAGAAAAGTATATCTGACCAGTTCAACATCTGTTTAATACAGTCAGCATGCCTGTTGGATATGACACCACTGGCATCAGAGCTTCAAGTTGCTGTCAATTAATTATTTTATGTGATATATTATGTGATATAAATATAATTGTTCCATTTTGTTGATACAAAACAATAAAATCCTAAAAAAAAATACACTTTCGTTCTTAGTCTCTTTCTATAAATTAGTTTAATTTATAGAAAGAGACTAAGAACGAAAGTATAAATTATTTTAATTTATAGAA